TCCTTGGATGGTCCTTGGTTGGTCCTTGGATGGTCCTTGGATGGTCCTTGGATGGTCCTTGGTTGGTCCTTGGATGGTCCTTGGATGGTCCTTGGATGGTCCTTGGTTGGTCCTTGAATGGTCCTTGGCTGGTCCTTGGATGGTCCTTGGTTGGTCCTTGGCTGGTCCTTGGCTGGTCCTTGGATGGTCCTTGGCTGGTCCTTGGATGGTCCCCTACAACTCCTTTTTAAACATCAATCTTTGTTCTAAAACATTCTTTCTGTCGTGATTTGTGGACATTGAGATCTAAAGAGAAGCGCCATCTGCTGGTCAGACCCTGTAATTCAGTGAAAGGTGGAGTCAGATGCCAGAGGGGGGGGTCGCTGCAGTGGCTGGAATTTAGAGGGAATTTCACTGGAAGTTGCAGGGAAGATGGCGGCCATTCAGCTGGCGGTTGATTGGGAGCGGCCATGTTTAATGGCTGCTGCTGTATCTGGGAAAATGCAGAAAACTGCAAAAGCACTGAGAGGTGTTTTAAATCTAGATTAAAGGTCTATAGATTTTCTTTCTTAGAGTGGTCTTTGCTGGAGCTTTCTAAACATCATTAAAGTTTTCAGTCATTTTATTATTGATCATTTTCTTTCAGGTGTGAAGCAGCTGCAGGCCTCTGCAGCTTCAGGTTCTTTCAGCCGTGCAGAAGAGGAGCAGCTGGTGTTTCGGCTGCGTTCACAGGTACGTCTGCAACCCGAGGAACAGTTCCAGATGTCGAGTTCTGACTCGGCTCTGACCTTAGAACGCGCCGACTGTTCCTGGAACCATCCTGGGTAGTAAGCGTGTCGCTGCCTTTTGCAGGTGGAGGAGCTGGAGGAGAAGCTGTTGGATCAGACCCAGGAGGTGGAGAGACTTCGCTCTGAACTGGTACGGGCCCGTTGGGACCGACTGGGAGACTGGGAGGCCGTCCTCAGAGTCCCACAGATACTGGACCTAAACCAGAACCTCAAAGTTCTGACCCGGTTGGGTTTTACTTTTAACGCTAGAGCTCCCACTGGCCGTCATTTTCCCATGATGATGTCATCACCTGAGATGGTCCTAGTGTGCGATATAAACCCATTGTGGATATTTAAACCTTAGAAAATAATCTAAGATATTTTTTTCAAAGGCTTTATTGTAAGCTATTTTAATTTGTGTTCTAAATTTGTATTAAAATAAATTAAGTTTGAAATTAGAATTTTATTGACATAAATCGATTGATTCCGCCCAAACAAAGCAGATCACTTTTTCACTTTTTCACAACTTTTTATCAGTTCAAGGATAAAATCCCTTCAAGCTCCTGAACCAAACCAACTGGTTTATAGCTGATATTTCCAGTAGATTATAAATTTCAGCCTCCTTCATGTTGGAACTTTAACAGAATCCTTTCTGACCATCTGATCAAACACCTCCAGCCTACCTGTGTGGTTAGACTGGAGCACGGACTCTGGTTTGGCTTCAGGTGGAAGTGGACCGGCTGAGGTGTGGGCGGTGCTTGAACAAAAGTTTCACTATTGTCTGCGTTGTCCTGGGATTGGTTGATCATCCTCGGACCCGCTGTCAGAATCGGAGCCTCTTCCTCCTCATCCTTCTCTCCCTCTCCGCCCGAATCGCTATCATCAATATTTTGAAGCATTTTTAAAACCTGTTTCGCTGTTAGATTTCCTCTAAAAGCCATTTTTCTATATTAGCTAAAGAGTTCTAGGTAGAATGTTGGTTGCTAGGCAACGGTACCGAACGTCAATCAACCGTGGGAAGAATTTACAATGCAGCTAATAGAGCCATAAAAATGACGACTGTGGAGGATCGAGGTAAAATTAACCATATTTATTTTTTACATTTTAATTTTATTAAAAAATATATAAAATGAAGGAAATATAGAAACAGGAAAAGTCAGTTAACATGAGCAACATAATATTAGTTTTAAATGCGTTTCTTTCCCTTTAAGACCTCAGAACCGTCAAAATGGCGGCTGTGGGAGTTCCAGTGTTAGAAAGTGTGTTTTAGCAGAAATGTCTGATGTAAACGTTCGGTTCTGGTTTCACTTCATCTTAATTCTGTTACTTTAAAACCACGGCGTCCACCTGTCCTGCAGGGGGCGACGGACCTGGAGAAGCAGCTGGAGCGGCTGCTGGTGGAGAACGAGCGTCTGAAGCAGGAGCTGAAGTCATGCAGGGGTTCCGAGGGTCAGAAGCTCGACGCCGCGGCCGAGAGCTGCAGCCGCTGCCCCCACGCTCAGGTGAGCTTCCAGGTGGGCGTGGTTCTGATGGACAGCGCCTCGCCTTCAGCCTTTCACATTTAGTCGCTTTGAGTTAGCAGCTCCAGGAGAGTCTGAGCCCCCTACCCATGTATCTGTGCTGCAGGAGGTGGAGGCCCTGCGCAAGGAGGTGTCGCGCTGGGAGAGCCGGGCCCAGCAGAGGGAGCAGCGGCTGGCGGAGGTAGAGGAGGAGCTGAAGGAGAAGAGCTGCAGGCTGGAGGCTCTGCAGCAACAGCTGGACGAGTCCAGGAGAAGACGGACCGACAGCGAGCGCCAGCTCCATCTCCGTCTGCAGGAATGTGAGGATGAGCTGGTCAGACGTGCAGCGGCGCCCTCTAGAGTCAAGGTGAGGAAAAGCAGGTCAGGGAAACGGGGATGAAACTGTTAGAATCCAGCAACTGATGAAGCCGCTTCTGTTCTCCCTCAGTTTGTGACCCAGACGGTGGAGGTGGAGTCGGCAGACTCTCAGAAAGCTGTGGTCGAGATGCAGGTGAAGAACGGCGCCCTGCAGGAGCAGCTGTCTGCGCAGAAGCAGCTGCTGCGGGAGCTGGAGACGCAGCTGCACGAGTCCCAGCGGACCTGCACTCAGCTGCGGACTCAGGTGAGTTCAGGGACGCACCTGCAGCTCTGCCTCCGTCAGAAACATGCAGCCTTCCTGGGGTGGGTTGGTGAGGGATAAACAGGAAGGCTGCAGGTGTGACTTCACCTTTAGGTTGATATGAAGGATCCCACCAGGTTCAGGTGATCTGATCTTGTTTTATTTTTCTACACTGGTTCGGCTGCAGCTCCGTCTCTGTGACCTTTTATCCCAGACTGTCAACAATGGAAAGAGCCGCTGGGATCCCAGGTTGTCCAAGGTTGGACCCCCCCCCCCTTTGGGTCAGGCTCCAAAGCTCCCTGATAAACCTAAAGCTATGACTCTGTCATTCTGATCATTTATTATCTACAACCAGGAAATATGGATCATCTAAGTAACCTTGAGTGCATTTCGGGTTTTACAATTTTAAATATACAAAAGAAATAAATACTTTTCTAAAGGATCTATTGAGTATTAAATAAAGATGATACTTCTTCATATTCTCCAAAAAATAAATGACATCTTAAAATGTGTCTTTAATTGGATCAATATCGGTTCATTAAAAGTGTTTTTGATTTTTTTTCCTTTGGGGAAGCTCTGGACTCTGACCAGTCAGTCAGGAAACCATTACAGTAGATAAACCAGTGTTTAGTGTCGACGTTTGTTAGATTCAGCTGTTTAGAAAACCTGTTTCTGTGTTTTTACGTCTTCTTCATGTTAGCATAGAAACGTTGCATTAGTTACTGGAACCAAAGAAAAAAACAGAAGTTTTCCAAGTTTAGTAAAACTAACCTGCAAAGTTTGGCTTAATGACTTTAACCAGAGGGAAATGTTAGCTTAGCTTAGCTTGACTTCCACTAACATAAACGTTAGCTTAGTGTAGCCTAATAGCTAATAGCGGACGTGCCGCTACCCGATCCGTAGCACGATCAGTGATATACATCCAGGTGTGCATAAAAAATTTTATTATGGTACTAAAAGCACTTATTTCTATCTTTAACTCACTAGAGAATGCTAATTAACATCTTTGAAAAATGTTTTATGAGACAATTTTGATGCTTTTTACGTTCAACAGCTTCTCTGATGTCATCATGGCGCACGCTCAGAGCATCAACCATCTTTATCTGCATTTTCTTTCTCTACGCACTACTGTATACACCATAATGTTAACAGGAAAGGGTTAGGGTATATTAGGGTAAATTAGGGTAAATTTCGTTTAAAACTGCTCTAGACAATTTCATTGTTTAAAGTTCAGCCTTAAACAGTAATAAAGACATAAAAAATAGTAAT